AAACAGAATTGCTGGATAAATCTTTGATCTAATAGCTTGCTAATGACAAAATTACAAAAACCTGGGACTTGAAATACCATTTTAAGTTTCATGAAGCCCAGTGTTCCTTTCCCAGTTACGCTGGCAGAAACACTGAGGAATGTGGGATGAAAGATCCAAAGTAAAATTCCAACATTGCAGCATTATTTAATAATGTTAGCACTGACTGGCCACAGCAGAGAAAAGGGGTAAGACAAAACCAAACAAACCCCATATTGCATTAGTTTTGGTCAAATCCTTACCTTCCCTAGTCAAAAAACTACATTTTACAAAACACATTTCTCTCCTTCAAAGCTCAACTACTCTGTTATTGCCATGTGGCATACAGAAAGCATCCCTACATTTTTATTTATGTATTTTGTATGTTATTAATCTGTAGCAATGGTCTCTCAAAAACAAGCAAGCAGGTCACCATAGCTACTCCACATTCCCTGATCCCATCAAGTTCTGCAAGAGCAGCCAGAGCTGAACACCATGACCCAGGTTCAGCTGCTGATCAGGGACAGAATTGAGAGTTTTGCAAGTGTTAAATGGCCTCAACATTCAGCCTTGCTCTGCAGGAGCTACACTTACAGGTGAAGAACACTTTGTCTTTAGCATCTTTTGTAAATTAAAGCTCTGCTGTGATGAAGATTGGTCCCTCCAGATCATGGGCATGAAGCTGTTCACTTCTCATCCTGAGCCTTTTTCCCCATTTGTAGTTACTGCACAGAACCACTCTAGCACAGATTCAACACCAAGCTGTAAATGAAGTGTTTTATTTACACTTACCCAGCTGAAGGATGAACCAGCTGCTCATCAGATGTGCTACATTCACACTCTTTCATAGCAGAGAAACCATTACCAGCTTCATTGCTTACATCAGCTTTCAAAGGCTTAAAACTTGGGTCTAAACACTGGCTGTGGTGTGGTGTAATAACCAATTAAGTGCTTCAGCATCCCCCAGTTTTAACAGGGCAGTTAAACAATTCTAAACCTTCTTGGGTACTCTGTGAGTGAAATTCTGACTTTTTCAGATCAACAGTTACAGATCACCTTGGTCACTGGACTGTCAGCTTATGCACAGAGTGTGGTGGAAGTGAAACTGTTTGCCGCTCTGTTTCTGCTGTGTATCCCACTAAAATCCAAATATAACAAGCACTAAGTGAAGGCTGCTTTTAATTTCATGCTCCATTATTTGGTGAATGTTTAAGCACAAGCTGTCTCAATCAGAGGTCTTTATATTTCATGATACATCCAGTTACAACATCTATATTGAATTTTTAAAGAAGCTGCAAGAGAAAACATTTGCACTTTAAAACTTTACAAGGTAAGATTTTAAGAAATGAAATAATTGAAGATACCACAGACCAATAAAATCCCAATGCTTTTGACATGGAGAAGCATAGGAAGGACCTATACAAATCCTTGTGGAAGATCACCACATTGTGTTTATGAAAGCACAGGATCACTTCATTCTCTTCTGAAATCCTTTTCTCTGTGTCATGGAGAAGCATAATAATGCTTCCATAGTCTGTTTCCTCTGCTAGAAAACCACAAAGGATGCTACAAAGCTTAGAGTTACGCAGCACCAAAGGAAACTAATCTACTACAAAGTAACTACAACAGTGCGCAATGCCAGCTACGTCTTGTAACTGTTGAAGTATGAGGCTTTTTCCTCCCCTGCAAGCATAACTAATAATCAGAAAATTAATTTTCTATGATTCTTAGCTGTCAAAAATCTTGCTCAGAAGAGAGGATTTTGACACTACATTTCTAGAAGAGAAAGTGTCAGCATTATTCTTCTGCTATTACCTTGCTGCAGACTTGGCTCAACTGAAGTGCAGTTTAAAAATGCAAGAAAAGAGAAACAGATCTCTGCTAAGGAAAGAACAAATACCACATTCCAACTATGTCTTTCAGCTCATTATTTTCTAATACTTCATAAGAAGTTCTAAAGTACCATTGGTAATGCTGCCACTGTCAAAAGCCCAGATTTCCAGCCAATGAGATGACACAAATATTTACTCTAAGCCTACATTAGAGTCTACAAACACAAACTTGGCTGCATTTGAAAGGAATGATGAGTAACAAAATCTTCCCTTCTTCTGTCTGGAAGGTACTTGTGTTTACAGAACACCATTCTTTAACTGTGAACCAAGCCTTCTGCACTCTCTGACTAAAGATACAGCGCCCATTCCATTTACCAAAAGTCTATATTTCATTTCTCTCACGTCTGACTCAACCAGCAGTTGTGCATTCTCCACAGAAAGCTGGCTCTGAGAAAGGATGAGAGAAGCACATCTGACATGAGCTTGCTCATCACCTGCTGTTTAAACAGCACTCACTGTCTAAGCCAGGCATTCCCTAGCTGGAAGGATTCCCAGGACTCTGCAGAGACTCAGAGCCTGTAAACAGGAAGCACCAATCTGATGGCAACTGCCAAAATCAGCTGTTCATCCCTGTGATTCAACTAACACGCATTTTGACTTCTGATAAAACATTCTAGCTCAGCTTTGTTAAAGGCTGTTTTTTTTCCCAGTGCCTGGGTCCATTATAATTCTGGTGACAGTTTGACAAGACCACAAAGCAGGGCTCTAAGGAAGGCAAGGGAAGCATCCATACCATCAGCAAGGCATCTATTACCCCATTTTATCCTCATGTTTCACTGTAAGAAATTCTGCACCCTACCACACATCCTGTGCTACCAACTTGCACATCCCTTATAAAAAGCCACAGCAAAAAACCTATTTAGTAGAAATCTACTGTTTTAAATGCATGTTTTTAACTGTTGCACTGTATTTGCCACAAGTAACTTGGCATTCCATCTGCAGAATTGCCAAGATTGCCAAAACTCCTCTACCAGCTACAAACTCAATACTATGTCACATGTAACCAGCAAGATGTATCTGGATTTTGGTGTTTTCCTCCATCAGTCTTCATTCACAGGGCAGCTGAGCACAAAGTAGATTTTAGGTTTTCTAATCCAAGCACTTCACCTACACAAAAAACAAAGGTGGTGATATCTTTTCCCCTCATATCAGCACTGCCCAGACTATAACTGAGCAGATACTACACAGTCCTGCTGTCAGGCAGCAGAAACTTGCAGAGTTAAGTTTCTGAAAATACAAGCCAGACCTGTCCTGAATTAAAACTTTAACAAGAAATTACAAAGCATTTATATAAATTTTATATAAGCTCTTTTATTCAAATTTTCTTTTCAAGAAGAGCATTAATTTAATCCTGTCTCTCATTCTTCTCACTTCCTGCTGTTTAGCTGGATTTAGTGCTTTCCCAAGGCAATAACACTACACTGATATCCTGGTACCTCTGTCTGTGCAGCTCCTCTTTCTCTACAATTGATAGCTCAGGTGTAACAAATTCTTCAGCAACATTTAATAGGCTCTTATCTCCAAGAGAAACATTTTCACATTTCCACTAAAGAACACAATGGATGTATCACATCAGTTAACATTTTATATGCAAAGTGGCAAAATCCATTTGCTTTAAACAGCAAAATGAGAATTGTGTTTTTAGCTAACCATTTAGCTAACAAAGAAAATCCAGAAAACTCAAAGCAACTCAAAGAAGACACCTTGAACTAAAACAATTTAAATTTTGGGCTTTTATCAGCCAGTCTCTATGAATTACTTCATCAGCAGCTTTCCATCTTGCGTGTGTACATGCATTAATATGAAATTGCAGAAGGCTACATGCAATTTGGGCTTGCTTTTAGCACTCTTAGAACAAACAGCAGAATAAATTTTAAGAGCATGGAATAAAATTTGACTTTTCTAAAGTTAGGCCACTTCCATACAGCATCTGCAAAGCAGGTTAGAAATTAGCAAAGCTATCACGAACATCCTTCCTAAAGGCTTCTTTTGAGTACAAAAACTCCTAATTTTGTGCCACTATGCACTGGAATGAGTGATTAAATATAAAAAGCTACATTTTTTCTGCTAAGATTAGAATCTTTTTGGGGAACACAGAGTGTTGTGCACTCTTACAATACCTAGAAGAGACCACAGTACAGCAGCAGATTATCAAGTGCAGTCTCCAATGGAAAGGTGATTTCCCTTCAAACAGTCAAATGTCAGAAGCAAAATCCAACATGGACTCAACACAGAAAAAGAAATCAAGAAGCTGCAATGCACCGCTTGCCAAGACCAAGTGCACTAGTCCCTGGGACCCCAAAAGGTGCGTAATGCTCCTCTTTCAGTTCTAATTAAAGTATCACACAACAAGCTTTAGCAGCACAGTGTACAAGTATTATGCTGTCCACAAGGAATTTTCAAGATGAAAATTGTCTGTGGATTCTAAAGCTTGAAAAATTTTAAGAGGTTATGAAAACAGTGCAAGTCAACATATACACCAGAAGCTCCACTGGAATTTTCAAAAAAGCAGATTTTATGGTTATTTTAAAAATCCACTTTCATGTTTTTGGTTATGATTTAGGAAAGAAAAAATATTTATATTTATAAGAAATTGAAGATATATTACACAATTCTCTTAAATCAAATAAAAAATTGGTCTTTTTAACAAAGTAAATTTCACTTTTCCAAGAAATTAATTTTATTATGTAAACAGCAAACCAGAATCTGTCTGTCCAAAGCGTTTAATTAGAACAAGAAATGGTTTTGAGGTCTACTATTTTTAAAAGAGTTAACATGATGAATAATTTTTACTAATGCTCCTAACTCATCAATTCTAAAATATGCAATTGTACACCACAGCCCATGATTCAGACAGGAAATTCTTTCTTCAAACTCTCTGGGTATTCAATGACTCACATAACAATTGAGGTATTTCCAAGGGTTTTCCTTTAAATATCCTAATATATTCTTCTGTAGTTTAACATTTTTCAGATGTAACACAAGACTAAATCTGAAGCCAACTGCAACACAAGGCTTCGACAGAAATCACAAGAATAAATATCTCTGATAGAGTTACTTGCATTTAGGCCATTTGGGCCATATACTTACCAATAAACTTGTTTTGCATAGTCTCTAGGAGAGCTTGGTGGGCATCCTCTGTTTGCAAAGCACATGAACATTCTCTGGCCAGTATGGTCCTCACAAGGTGCTCTCCACAACCTAAAGAAATATTAAGAATAGTCAAAATACAGATATCACTTTGAAGAAACCCTGTAACCAACTTACATCATCACATTAATTTGGCTGTGATTATGCAAAATAATGACAGTTTCTTCATAGTGATGCAAATGACAAGTGTCTGCCAAAACCATTTTTATTTTTAAAAAGGTTGACACGAAGTCACTCAAAAAATCAAGAAAGTCAGTGGTTTTCTCATAACTTTGCTAAAATTTTGACTCCACAAAGTCATAAACCAAACAAAAATTACAGAAAGAAGAAACAGCAACACTGTCTCTGACTTAGCATTTCTAACCAGATAGAATCCTCTTACTACTTCTCCTGGGAATGATCCCTGCCTGCAACTCCCCAAACCAAAACGATTTCAGTGACAGAGTAACTCCTTCTGCATGACAGATTATTCTACTTAGTCCATCTGATTCAGCCTTTATCAACAAAGGAATACATGAATTCAGTCATGCTTTTTTGCCAAAGTGGCTGGTCACTGGACTGCTAATACAAATTCCTGTAATTTTTAAAGGTTTGTCCTTAAGAAATTAAAAAGCTGCTGCAAACAATCACTTATTGCCTCCGTGTTTTCTGTACTTATCCCCTGAAACCTATTTTTGGTGAAGACAAGCAGGTCATTGCTGCGACTCTTGTTCTGTAGGAACACTTTCACACCTGCTATTTTTACTCCTATACCCTTTTCCCTTCCTGTACTGCGCTCTGGGACATAGAGCTACAGCCAAATGGCACCATGGATGTTTACTGGACCAGATGGGGTTGTTGGGCAGAAAAATCACTGCTGATACCTTCTCCATACAGACCAAGGTCATTACACTACTTATGCCTCCTGTTTTTGACATTTTTCCTTAATGGCAGAGAAGCAGACAAAGCAGCCAGAAGAGGTTTAACCAAGAGTCAGGTGAACTGTGTTATCCAGTTAGGAAAGGAAAAACCACAACTAATGGAGAGTTGTGAAATAACAACGATCTCAAATTATCTAAATCTAAGTGACTGCATTTTGATCAAAACAGTGTTAGACACCAGAATATATAGAGAGAAGTCAAACACAGTCTGTTCACAATTATATATAAATATTTTTAGCATATTTCTCATTAAATACAAGATGATGCAAGCACTGGAATCATAAAAAAAAAATCTGCTATAATACAACTGGACTTATTAGCTCAGGTACAGAATGACATAAATACACCTACACAGAAACAAATTTATGGCTGGAAACAATCTAGTTGCTTCCAAGTGGCAGGGAGCTGGAGCTGGTAAGACATCAGACCTAGGCTGGCTTCACACAAAGGCAGCTCAGTCTCCACAAGTAACTCACACTTTACTGGAAGCACTGGCAAGCCCAGAACAGAGACACTGGCCGAAGCCAGCCTAGATGTGGCATGAAGAAAAATTTAATAATTAAACCCAACCCCAAGTGGCTCCAGAGCAGCCTGCTGAGTCTCTCGTCCCTGTGCATACGCTGAGTTTGGAGCACTGGCTGCTGTGGGTACAGCAGGGCACAAACACGTGGGCAGGTCTGGCACTGTGTGTTGCAGTGACACACAGACTGGTTCCCAGTTCTTTTCATCACTGTAAACCCTAACACGGCAAGCTACTCAATCTCCCTCTCTGGCTGCATGACACACAATTATACCCTTCCCCTTAAATGCAAAGCGAGTTTCCACTATTCTTCAAAGATTGCTAATACAGAAGGGAAAAAAAATTACCCCCCTCATTTTCACGATTGAAAAGAACCTCAACCCCCCCCCCCCCCCCAAAAAAAAAGCAACCAAAAACCAAAACAAAACAAAATGAAAAAAAACACCAAACAACACCCTCTGGAACACTATGGATGCATTAGATAATTAGATGTCAGAAAATCAGCCCAGACCAGAGACCAGATTGCTCAAAAATTGTGCGCACATGTCCCAAAATTCTGCTATGCTCAATCTTCACAAAAATACCTTGGTCTTCAGTTCTGTGTCCCTGCTAATGGGAATTGTCTCCTGATTAATGCAATTCAGCTAAACTGAGCTGTTTGAAGTGGGATACTTTGGCATTGAATCTACATACAACTGGAAGAACAGAAACACAAAAAATGCTTTGTATAGCAAACAGGCTGAGTAAAATCCAGTTACAATTGTAGGGGAAAATGAAAGAGCCAAAATACTACAACAATTACACAGCCAAGGGAAGTTGTTCTTGAAAGCACAAGGGAGAAAGTGTTTTCATTGAGACTGACAAGTTCTCAAGTTAATGAAAGAAGTGTCCAGGTTAGGAGAATCTTCAAGGGGCTCATGCAATACAGCAATCTCAGCATCTGCTTACAGAAGGGTCTGTCTATTCATTTGCCTCATTATACCCACACTCTGAAGCTTCTGTCCACAATACAACTGTGAGTTATCTACTATTTATTCCAAAGTGATGGATGAAGAACATGAAAAAAACCCCACAAGATGCATTTTACCCATAGATCACAACATGGACTTTTTTAAAACTAGGAAACTGCAATCACTATGAAGTTTTGCTGTAAAGAATAAAAATAAAATTAAACAGGCAGATGTTCTGGCAAAACCTGAGAAAGCTGTTTTTTTCTTGAAAAAACCTGTTAGTACCTTTAAAATATAACATGTAATACCTTTAAATATAACTGTATAAATAAGAAGCAGGGGACTTAAAAGAGGAATCAAATAAATGAGACACAGAAATCAGAGTGAGCCTATGTATCTTCAGTGCATCAAGTAATAAAACCAGATGTTACTACTTCACAATTTTCAAGTATTTCCTAAATTGGAATTACAAAAAAACAACAATGGCCATTTTTTAGCATGACGTATAATGTTATTTCCCCCCCAGGAGAATGAATTTATTGAAGAGTTCCCATAACATCAAGTCTGCTCCAAAAAAAAATTCAGAGAGAGAAAACAATATGGGTTAAGAACAGCTGCAGCCCACATCCCCATCCAGGATCAACCACAAGGAAACAGCTTTGAAATTCTACTAACACATCACACATCTCTACATCCCCACAGACAGAGTCATTTCTTTTTGTCATATTTATGTCAACCTATAAGGCAACAAACTTAGAGGCTGCTGCTGGCAGTGTATGTAGAAATCTTTCAGCACATCACTTGCTGGCAGTCTGCAGGGACGGATAACTAAGGAAAACAATTTCCCCATTTGCAAATGAAAAATTTGTTACTGTAGTTCTTGATGTAGGAACATCTATTTTTGAAGAAGAAAAAAAAAATCTAAGCAGTATGTCACATATTTTGACCAGACACAGGCTAAGAAAAAGAACTGCCCTTACTATTATTCAAACCAAATTTCTTGCAGGTTTAGCAGATCTGTATGTCTGTATAGCCTCAAACTAGGGACATACTGTAGATAATACTAGGACTAGGCAAAAATTAATGTATACATTACCAGAGCAATCAAAACCGATTTGTAACTTACAATATAAAGTTGTGGGTTCAAATTTATAGTTCCAGTCACTTTAGTCTAACCACCAGCATTAGCTAACTTCCAAAAAAGTTATATTAACATGACTCAAGAGAGCAACTCCAGTGAAAGCTACTTAAACTCATTTCCAAATCATGCACACAAGCTGATGAAAATGTAAATCTGATTAATGTGCATAACTATCTCCCATTATACTACATTTAACTGGAAGTGTTAATACATTTGGCATTTCTTTCACTGAATAGTACTACCAAGTACAACCAAACCAAGAGGGACTCCTACTAACAATTTTCCAATTCTACATTAAAGTCTCAAATACATTTGTTTTAGTAACTTTCCTGTAAACAGAGTTAGAATCATTTTATTATCCTTTCCCAGTTATGATGATGACTTCTTCAGTATCCTGAAGTTCATTACTTTTCAGAGATGAGTATTTTGTAATGACAGACAAATGCTTCCCTAAGATTTCACACATGACTGACTCAAATGCAGACAACTAGCTGGAAAAATTTACTGGGCTAAATTAGAGCTTCACATTGAAATAACTTTCATATAGTAAACAAATTACTCTCCTAACACAGTACTATTCTGCAAACACCATGCTGCCTACTTCTAACTCCTCTGGTGACCAAAAAAACTCCTGTTGGAACTGCTGCTGTCCATGTTTGCAGGGCTAAGTACAATTAACTGCCTTCCTCTAGGACTGCTTCTGGCAAAGGCAGAAACACTTCTACAGAAAACAGAGAGTTTATAGAGACTATTTTGATAAATCATGCCTGACAAATTTGGTGACCTCCTACAATGAGTGGGGTGAGATAGTGGAACTGTTTGCCCAGGGAAGTTCTGAATGTGCCATCCCTGGAACTGTTCATGGCCAAGCTGGAAGGAGCTCTGAGGAATCAGCTTTAGTGGAAGGTGTTCCTGCCCACTGCAGGAACTTTAAAGTCTGATCTTTAAGGTCTCTCCCAACCCAAATCACTTGCAGATCCTACAAAAAATAAACAGAAACAGACAGATATTTTGATGCAAGTTTCTAGCCTCCTAGATTAAGGGGAGAGAATATACAGATCCCTAAAGGTTCCAGACATTGATGGCAACAGATTCCTATGACAAGGGAAGGAAAGAAGAATGAGGCTTAATAGCCACAACACCTTATTTTGTAAACAAACTACAAACCGAAACGGAATTCAAAAAGATCGCAGAAAACCCGTCTTCAACCAGAAGCTTCTATTCCTGCATGGAAATTATTTGAAGATGATCAACAAAATCACTTGAAGATCATACAGAAACACCAACACTGATTTTGAGACACACATATCTTGGATTATGCCACCATACAGTTTTACTGCAGTGTTTCTTTCAAAGTGCTAGGCAGACCAACAGTGAAACAGAACTTCTCTTTCCTGTGGCTATGTGTAATTTCTGACAATAATACACTTTTACCTCCAATTCAAATACTCCCCATTGATTACTACACACAAGAATTGCACAAGAACAGTTTAGGAATCTACAATCTTTTTTTTCATTGT